ACATTTCAATTTTTCTGGAAATTCAAGAAACCTGCAATTTGATAGTCGGGTTTTTTCCGCAATAAGTTAAACGATAATACTGATCAGGAAAATCTACAGATATAAATCACCAACACTTCTAAATGCAGTAAAATAAAAATTCATTTAGCATTTATTAAAGTATATTCCACCGCGTGTCCTAATTTCCGGCCTATAACCAACATTTTCGCAGAAAATAATGCAGGTTGTAGGGATTAATGAGTGGGGCTACACAAGCTACTGTTGCCGATTTTAGTTTGCACAGCGTGTTCATAAATAGGCAAGAATGGAACTATATAACTATACATTCACGAAATTGTTGTTTTCGGTCATAGTATAATCAATGCACAGTATTACGTGTGGTGTGTGATGATGCAATGTAAGCTCCAGTTGATAGCAAACGAATGGTTAAAGAAACGCCGTCTCATAAAATGATAACTGAGTTGTCTGAACCACCAGATCTTCTGATTATAAATTCATTATTCGTCATTCAGAAACCTTTGTCATTACAGTTCATAGCGGGTTAATACAAAACGGTGCGTTTTACTTAGGCTTGAAGAACGTTTTTTAAAGCATTATTACCGTCACCTAAAAGTGCAATATTCGTACTTTGATCGGTAGATAGACTTAATGCATTCTCGTGAGGTCTCAACCTGCGCGCAGATCCCGTTTCTGCACGGGTTTGTGAAAGTAAACATGTTGCCGAAATGTGCTGCATAGGAACCCTCTGTGAACACGGAGTTGGCGAGCCTCGCAATATTTCGACAAGGCAAAAGGATGGTGCGTGCGGTCCTTCAAGATTGTCACGCGAGACTGCGCAAGTACCGTCAAATAATTGACTAAGGAAAGGCCGATTGCTGTGAATGCATGAACGAAGCAGCACAACACTGGTTGAGCAGGGAGTGACTGCACTAGCCTGCAAAAGGCAAGCGATTTTTGAAGCAGCACTGGATAAAAGTTTTTCGCAAACTACATAAACCAACGTCATCCAGAAACAACATACTGGTACACCAACTGTCTTCCAAGCAGCGGGCGAAGGAGAAAATAAGGTTCTACATCACGAAGCTCCACTCAACACAGCTTATACTGGCCCTGCTAACATGATTGCAGCTGCGAAATTGGTCATTATTGGGACGAAGGGGATGGAGCAGACGACCAGCCTTATTCGACACCAAATATCATCCCTTCTTTTGGCTCATCAACCGTGCGAAGTGTTCCCCAAGGTCGAACGCGATGCACTACGAGCAATCGAGGCCGGCCGCGACGTCTTCATCTTGCCAGCCGAGAAGAGGCACTCTGTCGTCGTATTAGACAGAACAAACTACCTCCAAAACGCCAAAAATGTACTGGAGGATCGTTAGTTTTATGTCCAATGTGAAACCAATCCACTCGGATGCAATAAAGTCGTCTGACCGACGCATAGCGAGAGCGCAAGAAGCGGCCATGACCAGCTTCTACACCCAACCCCACCCCCAATCCCACGGTGCACAACGAGGTTGCTCCATTTCGACTCATCCTATCGTTGAAAGGCACTCGAATGTACGGACAGGGAAAGTGACTCTTTCGGCGTCTCAAATTGTTTACCGCTGATTCGAACATCACAATCCGTTCGTCAACATAATTCTTGGCGAAACTAAAAGGAGTATGTCTCCTGCCAAGCAATGCCGTTGATTCCTTTGACGTCACGCCCATTTTTACTTCCATCCCCAGAATCAAGAATTCGAGGCAGTTTAAATACTTCTAAGAATAAAAAACGATGAGACGAAGGATCGCCTTGGACAGGCCCAAACACTACAGCTTCTAAAGTTCTGTCTCAGCACGCGCTTCAAGTTTAACGAAACAATCTACGAGCAGGTGAAGAGAACACCAATAGGTTCACTGATTCTAAGACTCGTAGCTTAAGGCGGTCCTTCAACCGTTAGAGTTGCTGGCCTTCCAACACCTCAGACCGAAATTCTGGGCGCGGTGTGTGGCTGATACCTTCGTCGTCATCGAACGGGATCAGGTACTCACGTTCAAATAAAACGTCTTAACGACGTCTTGCCGGATATACAGTTCGCCGTGGAGGAGGAAGTAAACAACTAGTTGGATTTCATTGATGCCCTCGTATGACGCAAAGATTGTGGTGGTCTAAAGACCAAACGGTTTAGGAAAGCTAGAGGCACGAGGCGAGTACTGAATTTCAACGTCAACCCCCAATCACTCACAAAACCAGTTGCGTAAGGAGACTCTATTTGGCGTGTTCAGACGCACTGCAGTGAACCGGAGAAGAAGTCATCTAAATACAATATCTACAGCGGGTGTTCAGTGAAAACGGCTACCCGCGCATCTTTGTCAATCGGTGCATGCCCAAACAAGATGCACTGACCCTACATTTGTCGAGTGCTTCGCTACGTCATAAATGTGTCCGAGGACGTTGGCCGCCTTCTCACACCACTTGAATTGGAGTTGCACACAGACCAGTGGCAACTATAAGGTGTCAGACAATGAAACCATAAGAACCCCTGCCACGCCAAGAAAAAAATGAAGTCGACTATCTGACCTAATGCAGATGCGGACAAAGCAACTACGATGGAGAAACTGGGAGACGTCTCAAGACGTGAATTGTCGAACACACTGCAGCAGTGCGGAGAATTGACGCCAATTCCCAAAGTACAGCTCATTCGACGAGTCTCGGTCACACATTAAAAATGTATGGCATCGAAATACTCGCAAGAGGTGATAATCGTGTGAACTGACAATTATCTGAGTCAAATTAAATCAGCCTCCAATCTGCAAACAAGTGCAACGACCTCCACAATCCATATTCAGTGCTGCGGCTCAATCTAAGGAAGTTGAGGCAGGTGAAAAAGATATAGTTTATTTCTACAAATAAATTTCGAGACAGACCTTGTCAACTGCTGCCTCACTTTGCATGAAAAACGAAACTATTGGGAAACACATCCCTTACAGTTTTCACAGAATCGCAAATTGATAAGACAACAATATACAGACGATACGCGGATGGTATATAGACTACTGTTGATATCAAAAAAGACGTCGAGAATCTTCTTAACTTTATCAATACATTGCATCCAACGATTAAGTTCACGATCGAGATGAAGCAGAACAACAAGTTGCCGTTCCTAGACGTCCTCCTACTCAGAAAGGATGATGGTTCAATAAGGTGCACTGTTTTCCACAAGACTACCTGGAAAGGTCAATACCCACATTCTACCAATTTCGTCCCTACGCATTAGAGAGGAAATCCGGTACTTACACTTTTCCAGAGAGCTAGAAATATTTGTTTCGCTGAGACCCTACCAGCAGCGAATTCGTGCATAAAAGAGGCCCTGCTTAGGCATGGCTATCCCCATCGTTTCATCGAAAAATACAACAGCCCTTCACCGCCGAAATCTACGGACCAGTTGGTTCCGAAAAAGCCTGTTTTTATATCTTTACCCCTTAAGGGAGACAATATGTCAAATACAATTAAACGACGATAACGTTGTTCCATACAGAGAGCGTACTATGTAGCCGAACTTGTGTTTCACACTCCAAATAAAAGCTTTCCAGTCAAACGGTCAAAGGAAGCCTTGCCTTTGCGCGCTGCCCCCAACTGCGTCTATGAATTCACGTGCACTTGCAAATGCAAGTACACTGACCGTGCGCAAAGGCTATTGTCGAGCAGGGCTGCTAAAAGTTGCCTGCTTGGCTTTTAAAACAAGAAACAAAGCGCCATGGTCATCCATTTAAAAATACTTGCTAGGCAGTGGTCATTCCGTTGAAATCAACATGACTGTCCGAGTTCTTGTTCGAGCACGAACAAACCAAACCCTGCGATACATGGAAGCAGCCTGCATACAGCGGGAGAAACCCGACCTATTCAAGCAATTAGACCATGGCGTTCATCTTTAATTGCCCTAGTAAATGTATGCCATACTTTAATTCTTGTTAATTCACCTGACTACTTTTCTTCCCACGTTTGAAGCTGACAGAACTATTGGCCATTTGCCGCGTTAAACTTACCTTGCTTTTATCGATTCTGTAAAAATTCAAAATGAGTGTTCTCCAGTTGTTTCGTTATGCATGAAAAGAAAGGAAACTGTTGATAATTTCTCTCGAAATTTATTGGTACAAATAAATTCTGCCGTTTTCGCCTACTTTAAATTGCTACCTGGGAGAAAAATGCTTTAAATTTCTCAATCTAGAGAAAGCAGGTGGCCACGTAGGGAACGCATATGCCAACGCTTCCTCTAACTTCAACGCTGATAACAACATGGCCGAGCAACCGTGATGTCAAATTCCACTGCTTGTGATGATATCTCAGCAGCTCATGGCCCACATGCAGGCCATCAATACTGCAACATTCTTCATTGTGTTTTCTACGCCTATACAAAAGGTTTTTTTCACGGGAGCGTTTTTTTAAGTTATCCAGTTGAATTGCGCCCAGATTGGTAACTTCGTATGTACGAATGAGTGGGGGTGCATGGTGTTCCCGTGTACCGATGTCTGTTCCCTAGTAATAAGCAAATGAATAATCCAATCCATATTCACTGCCGAGGATCAATTTGGTCAAAAAAGTCGCCATTTGGGGAGCGGACACCAAAACACATCGTCTTACGCCAGCGACGACGAACCAGATAACTGACCAATAAGCACCGCCAATTGCGCCACGTGTGATGAAAGTTCAGCGGGTCAGAGGTCGCACACTGGTCATCAAGGCATTAACGTACATATGAGCAATTATCCTTGGTAGGGGGTTAGTTTATTGTTGTGAGTTTAAAGTACCCTAAAGGTAATGTTATTCCCTGTGCATTGAATGTTTTTGCTTATGTCTCTAATGAAGGATGTGCGACAAATTTCGAAACGTCAGGTGAATTAAGATCCTGTTCCAGCAATCACGTACTCTCATTAAAGCGGTGCGTGGCCACAGGCTCGATTTGTATATGTTTTCTCTGCAGTTTTTTCTCTGACGGCCCACACTTTGGAAATATCAGCCGTAATCGCTCTCTCTGTCATTTGGCCTTGTAAAATCCGTGAATTAGGAAGCTGTAATGCCCAGCAACAGGCCTTTTTTGTAAGATATCTTGCTATATCGGAATAGAGAACACCGGTGAGATATTTAAGTGCAGGCCCATCGATGAAGTACTTTATAGATGAATAGCGAAAATTATTTGTTTCGCTCAGTTACTGGAAATCGTAGTCTGACAAACAATTTTATATTTTGGGTGCTTTAAATCATTTTGCGATATAAACCAAGAGGAAAATCCCCAAATACAGACCTAAAGAATGAGGACTGTTCGTTGGAACACGATATTTTATCTGGCTGTAATCGGGGGCGATAACATACCTTAAGAGGATGAAAAAGCAGCTTGTGGTTAATATCACAATACCATTGGTGCTTTCCAAAACGATCTAATTACCATTCACGAAGTGAGCACCCGACTCTCATAGAGAGAGCCGGTTATGCTACTCTTCACGCTTAAAAACAGCCTGACCTAGTTTTATATTCATAATCCATAGCCATTCTTGTTATCTGATAAAACGGAGAATGGAAACAAATACCACATTTACTGAGGGAAGCTACTAAAAGGTTCGATTAAAATGTAACCTCAATGGTCACGTTTGAGGAACAATTTGTCGGTCAAAATTGCAGCTTTCTTCGATCGGAATTTCCTTTTTCGCCACCTCGCACAACGGAAATATTATAAGTTAGTTCTTCCAGAATTCCTTCTCCATAAGCAGATGTTCAGTTAAAAAATACTCGTTATTGATCATGAAAAAGGCTCAAAAATTAGAAACAGTCAAAAAGGCTCCAATGTCGCGTGCATGTAAACACAGGTTCACGCAACAAAAAGGAAGTTTAAGAGTATAATGTCACATAGTGTGAAGCCCAAGTGCAATTTACACGGATGCGCTCGTATGTCAATTTCAGTGGCGAGTTGAAGGGGAGGGGGTGCAGAATAGTAAGTTAAGCCGTGTCCCTTGGTGAAACGATAATGAGAAGGAAGTAATACGGGACACAGGGGAAGTTTAGGAAGGATAGTCACTTGAAAGTGCTTAATTAAAGTAAATATTTGAACAACGACGTGACAAAAATATCTGCAAAATAAAAAGGACACAATTATGGAAATAAAGTGAGAACTGTTCGCTCCTTTAAATATAGTAGAACATTCACACGGTTTCTGCCGTGGCATATATTGTTTAGAAATCCAGCAGGTTTAATTTGTATATACGGACCCATCCTGATGATAGACAGTTTATGGATCACATAAACGCAATTTATTATTAATTATTATTATTATAAAACTTGTGATTAGGCAACAGGTAAGCTGCCCGAGGTACTAAGACATCACTAGCCCCAGCATTATGACCTACG